TCTAAGCATAAATTTATTATTGCACTGCTATTCATAGTTGACAATAATGAATACGATCATATATTTTATAAAAAAAAAACAGATCGAATAAAGATGACAATAATATTTCGGAAAATGAACCGAAAATTTCTGTAAAAAGAAGAATATTCGGTTTCCCGAAGTTTTTTTTTGTTTATCGAGTTTTCATTACTATTAAATCCATCGATGACAATACAAAACTTTGATTGCTTCTTTTACCACTTACAATAATAACAAAAACATCTTTTGATATTCGTATTAACACTGAACAAATTTTTATATTTCTGCCCTTCGTACCTCTTTAATAACTCTTATTCGACGACTGTAATAGAAATGTTTCAAAAACGAAATAAAAAACATAAAAAAATATTTTCATATTCTATTATTTTCTCTTTTAATTAAAGTTTTGAATTTCAGTGTATTATAGTCTTACAACAAGAAATATAACTATTAACAAATAGAAAAATCTAATAGTTTAAACTTTAAACTTATTGAAGCCATATATTAAGTATTGTAACATCAGTAAGTGATCCACGATATTCCATTCGGTAAGCACGCCTACAATGCTTCTGAAGATCTCGCATTTTTGATTCCTGTTGATTTTCACCAGTCAAAAAACCATGAAAAATGATAAAATTCAATTTTGGGAGACCATTCATTAATATATGTAATGTTTCAGGAACTTGACTACTATTATGACAGTTTAACTCGATGATTTCCATTTGTGGCAATTGTTTGACGATTAAATAAGCAATGCTTATTATATCTGGATAGTCCCAATTCGTATAAAGATGTAGTTTTTGTAATCCGTTTGACATGAGTATATTGCACAATGAAGTATCATTGAAAAGGTGTATTAAATTTTGCTTGTTCGAATCATCATCAAAATCATAATCGAAGTGATAATGAAGCTCTAGACTACGTAAATGAATCATTTTTGATAAGAGCAAACCTAGTTGACATAAGTCGGATGGATCACCGATTGTGAGCGAAGTGATTTGATGCCAAGAAACAACAGTTGGTAAGTAAGAGAGAAATTCATCGTTGATTTGAGAGCGTCTACCATCCAATGTAATATTATTGATACATGCCAAACAATTGTTCAAAGCTGGCACAGTATATGACCAATGACTTTGTCTAAATAATGGCGAAACATCATTTTTTATAAGCAAAACAAAATGAAAATTTATACATACATGCGAAAAGTGTTTTTGTCTAAATAGCTATGAGCATATAAAGATCTGTTAATTCATGGTAACACGAAAGCATTAATAGAATAACTGTTTTCATATAAACATAATTCTAATTCGATTGGTATTCGTTCTTTCAATTGTCGCAACGTATTTAACAAGATAATACTTGTGTTCGATAGTGATATCGTAGTTTTAACAATCCATCTAACAATCAATGTATATGAGCATTGGTGAGAAAGCATTGATAGTAAATTGCAAACAACATCGGGTCCAGTCACCATTCCCACTAATGTGAAGTTCATCAGTGAAAATAAAACATTTTGATCAAATAATTGATCAAGTAGTTCTGTAGCATGACTATTATATTTTAATGTTATCTTAAGATGACGTATATTGGGAACTAAACGTTTATCAATACGAGAGACTCGACTAAAATAGATTAACAAAAACTAATCATAAATACATGATATATTATTTCAATTTTTACTGAAAAATACTCTTTTCCATTTTTCATTTACACCATATCATACAGTAGCAGTGTTCTATTTATGCACAATAGTTTGTATTTTTATATTAAAAATGCATTTCTTTTGATAATGAACTTATTATTAAACTCATGTTTTTTTTTCATTGTCGAATTGCATATATTCACACTTATTTAGAAAATGTTCTTTCTTTGACTAATGTTTAACTGAATATATTTTTTATAAAAGCTACGAACAAAATCTAAAATAAATTTATGAATAGAACTATAACAAATAGTTAACGACCACTATGAGCAAATTTTCATAGACAATCGAAATTGATTTAGTCATTTACTATCAAATATCCACAACCATGAATATCGTAGACTTGCTTGAACAGAATGATGTGTTGCATCACAAAAAAGGTTTCTTTTCTCGTGTAAGCTGGCATTAAAATGCAATGATTGCTCTTTTAAAAACAATTTTTTTTTATCGAGGCTAAGCAAAACTATGATTTTTAAGCGCATTTTGCATGATTAGCTTTCGAGAGTAAAGAGTTAATGACTTTTTTGACAGAGAATGATTCGATATTGTAACTTTATTTTACAATATGTTATAGCATTCTTTCAAGAACTCATCAATTTTTATTTCGCTCTGACTGTGAANTTTAATGTTATCTTAAGATGACGTATATTGGGAACTAAACGTTTATCAATACGAGAGACTCGACTAAAATAGATTAACAAAAACTAATCATAAATACATGATATATTATTTCAATTTTTACTGAAAAATACTCTTTTCCATTTTTCATTTACACCATATCATACAGTAGCAGTGTTCTATTTATGCACAATAGTTTGTATTTTTATATTAAAAATACATTTCTTTTGATAATGAACTTATTATTAAACTCATGTTTTTTTTTCATCGTCGAATTGCATATATTCACACTTATTTAGAAAATGTTCTTTCTTTGACTAATGTTTAACTAAATATATTTTTTATAAAAGCTACGAACAAAATCTAAAATAAATTTATGAATAGATCTATAACAAATAGTTAACGACCACTATGAGCAAATTTTCATAGACAATCGAAATTGATTTTGTTATTTACTATCAAATATCCACAAACATGAATATCGTAGACTTGCTTGAACAGAATGATGTGTTGCATCACAAAAAAGGTTTCTTTTCTCGTGTAAGTTGGTATTAAAATGCAATGATTGCTCTGTTAAAAACAATTTTTTTTTATCGAGGCTAAGCAAAACTATGATTTTTAAGCGCATTTTGCATGATTAGCTTTCGAGAGTAAAGAGTTAATGACTTTTTCGACAGAGAATGATTCGATATTGCAACTTTATTTTACAATATGTTATAGCATTCTTTCAAGAACTCATCAATTTTCATTTCGCTCTGACTGTGAAGTTTTATGTTCAATTATAATGTTCTATTTATATCTCGAGTTCGAAATAGATGTCAATGGATGTAATTAGCATAAAAAACAAAACCAGAAGAGTTTTTCTGTTAAATATATATCGAGAAGAATGATAATCATAAAATCGAATATAAAACGAGACAAACTCAGCTCTACTTTTGCTGTGATTGGAGATAGGATGATCATCCTTTGCTAATGAAAAATACCATAATGTATATATTGATGTTATCAAAAATAAAAGCCGTTGCTTACTTCTCATTACATTCATCTCTTATATTCATTGAGTTCTTTAATAAAAGTCATTGAAACAACTCTGAACTTTTTCAAATTATCATCTTACAATTAAACACTCCATAATCGATTGAAAAACACATTAGTGAAAAAAGGATATTATCAATTGAGAAAATGATTCACTTTCAACTATATAATCTGTTATGCTAATATGATTGAATAAATTAACATGTCATATTTTTTATTTTGATTTCAATAAAATAAACTTACTTGTTATAACCATTCATTAGTGGATGTTTATCAGGTAGCCAAGGAGTACTCAGATTAAAGCTGAGCTCTTGCAATTGTGGATGATGTTCAAATAAATGTAACAAAAAGGCTGGTGAACACTCTCGAAGTACAAGTGATTGTAAGTTAAAAAGATTTGTTTCAACCGGTATAAAAGTTTTATTAAGTGATAGAACTAATTGACTATCTCGAGAGTCGTATACGTACCACCAGAAACGAAGGTGGCATACACGTAATAAAGGAAATAAGCAAAAGATTCGTTCATAATATGCATCTTCAGGTACATCTTTAAATGTGTATGCAGCCTGATAGAATTCTGAATAACGTATGCTAAATATGATAAGAGATGTGTTGGGTGAAGACGTATTGAGCATCAATTCAAAACAAAGAACGTTTTATATCGATTAAAGATAAATGACGAAGATTGATAAATGCAGATAAATGTGATGATATTCATAATCCATTATCAATAGCTAATGTATGTGAGACACATAATGAAATAAGATGGCTACATACGTTTCCTTGTAATAAATGGGTATAATAGAATTCAGTCACTGCTATACTCATACCATTCAGACCCAAAACGAACATGAATAAATGGGATATTCCTAATGATAGTAGTAGCTCGAGAATTGAGATTAGAAAAAATATTGAATATTTCATGAAACTGGAAATAAATAAATATTTCGTAGAACAACTCGACAGAGAGATTCTCTAATTTTCTTATCATATTTTGTTTTGATATCAAACGATTGAATGTTGTACATCATTCTTATTTAATAGCTTCATAAATAATAGCATCGAGCGTTATTGTTCTTTCTCTTGACAATTGACGCCTTGAGATGGTAGTATTCTTCTTATTCGTCAGCTTCATAGGTCAACAAATATACAATAATAATGTCGATTTTCTTTTTCTTTCTATGTCATATCAAATAGTTTTCTGCATATTTTTCAGTTTTTATTATCATTCTTATACTCGAAGTAAAGTCTTCTCAGAAGGAAATTAAATAGAAAAAACTGATACTAGATTCTCATTGCAATTTATTAGATGATCAATAATAAATATCATATATATTGATAATAATAATCATAATAGATTAATACATCATTGTCTCTTACTTTTTTGTGTTAAATAAAACAAATTTAGTCCGAAAAATGAAATTAAAGGTTGTAAACGTCAATAACAGTCATTATAAAAGAAGAACATGTTAAAAAAAAGAAAATTTATAAAGAATTTCTAATATAATATCTAATTCTTCTCCACAACCTCAAGCATACCGACATGATTTTATCTTTTTTGTTCTTTTCTTAATGACTGATAAAAACAGATATGTCCATCGCGGCGCGACGGCAGCAGCTTTTTTAGGAAAAAATTTCAAAAATTTATGAATTTGCACAGAATTTGCATGTTCATGTATGCTATACTGTAAGACTTAACGAAGCTGATCGATTAGCGGCATCAGTTCTAGTTCAAACCAGTCACAGCCTTGAAAATCAAAACATTTTTTCGAATACCATCGCGGTAGCGGCAGATTTTGAGCCGCGATGGACATCTCTGGATAAAAAAAAAACTTCACATAATATTAAGAACTAAAAGAAGAAAACATATATCTTAATGCAAAGAGTCGACATCTTGATTGAAAAAATTCTCCAGGTTATTTATATTAACTAATCGTCCATTGTGCGAGAAATTGCTGTAAAAAAAAAGATCTTTGACATATTGGTATACTGTCAAAGGGTTAAAAAAACGTTTATTTTTTCGTATTAATAGCAGATGCACTTTTCATCAGTGACACACCTATATCTATTTGAGGCCTATGAATAAATTCAAAAGATTTTCATATAATATACTCTAGAACTGCAAAAAAAGAACATTTTTATAATATGCTTATTAGGGACAACTCTCATTTTATGAATAAAGCATCAAGAAAGAGGTTACTTCTGCAGAGACGAACATGTTAATAAATGTTCGACAACATAAGGCACATGTGAACGATATTATAGCACCTGGTTGTAATAGAGAAAACTGACAGAAATTGAACAAGATAACAATATCATTTATAAAAAATAGATATTGAAAACTAACAGATGAAAAGAAAATGGTCT